TGATATACAAAAAGAAAAACGACGAAGAGGGGGGGGGGGGGGGGTGGAGGGGAGAAATGGAGGGGGAAACGGTGGAAAAGTTTTTTTTAAAACACGGAAGAAAGAACTATTAAGTAGCTGAAACAAAGAAAGATGAAAGATTACTTATCTAACTATATGGAGCTAGGTCAGGAACACTGCTCCACCTCAGGCTGGAGATTGTTGAGAAGGAATTGTGGGGGGGGGGGATAGGAAGGGGAGGGAATTGCGCGTGTGCAATGCCAGCACACTTGGAGCACGTAGCTCAGGATCTATGCATGCATGGTCCCACGGACACTGCTCTGAAGACTCCGATCCATGACGCGTGCGTGCACTGACACCTGATGTGAAGCACCACATGGGGACATCTCTCAAAGAAGAAACCAGAGGCCTAATTCCTCACCTCAGCAGAGGAAGAGAAAAGCTAAAAGTTCAAATCAAGTCATTATTGCAAGAAAATGAATAAAAAATAAACTTATAAAACAGAATGCTCATGAGAAATTGAACTGCCAACTTGTTCTGCAGTTCTGGAGGCATAAAATCTGGTAGCTCAAGGGCAGCGCTTAGTCTTGGATACTTCAGCAACAACAAAAGATCACTTCTGAATTCCACAGGCAAAGATATTTTAGTGATGAAAGAGAAGCTGTGCAACCGAGTAAATAGTTACGAAATAGTGAGAAAGTTTATTAACTGCACAGCAAGTATTAGTTCATGTTTATGCAGTCTGATAATAACGGTCTAAAATAAGTATTATTAGTACCAAGTTCAAATTCTTTATAGAACGGATACTCTGTATAACACCATTAGAAATCCGTGATGGGATCAGTTTAATAGACTTTCCTGAGCAGTAGTGGGAAGCAGTTGGAGGGACCTGCTCCATTGCTCAACCAGCATTAATACTGTGTCAGTCCATGCTCTTTCCAGAGTGATCTCATTGATCTTATGACACCTTTTCCTCAGTGCACTCACTGAGGAGTGGCTCCTTCCATTTATTAAGCCACATGCTGCTTTCTCAGAACCAAATAGCAAACTCAGATCCAATGCAGGCCTCGATATAAAGACAGGCCACAAGGCCTCTGAGTACGTGCTGCTTTAAAAAAGGTTCCTAGCCACCTCAGTCCATTCTGTAAACTATCTACAAATTCAACACCACTCTTTGAATCTAAAGCAAAAATACAAGGAGCTGTACTAAAAAAGCCAAATTATACATGCTAAAAATGCAGGAAAATGGGTAATGTCAGAAACTTAATTTAAAAGTTACATTTTGCTTGCAATAAATCTAATAAACCACAATTGGAACATTAAATACTGCACGTTGACCTTTTTAGAAGGATAAACTGGAAACTATTTCCCCTTTTAAGCATTACGTGATTTTTTTTTCAGGTTAAAAAACATGTATGCTTTTTCCCTTTATTTTCTTCCAATACAGTATACTAATTAAATTTATGTCTGATATACTCCTATATTCTTCCTGCAGTATCTCAAAATAATAAAATACAATATTTTGTCTAAACCATTTATGTGGGATTTCCCTTGAGTCCAATACTGTAGAAAAACCAGTAGTGCAAGGTACATAGTGATCTTCTGCCTTTGAAAAAAGTTTTCAAATCAAATTTCCTCACCCTATTATCTTGAATTTTAACGCTAAACCCTCTGCCCAGTGCCCAAGAGTACAAACTGGGTGTAAGCTTTTAAAGCATGTGAAATAGCAACAGCATGAAAACTAGCATAAGCAGTCTGAACTGTAGGGTAACAAACTGTAATGAAACAACAGAATGCACGGAAGGAGGCTGATTCTTTTGATAAATATGTTAAAGTTTTAGTTGGCATTAAAGAGTGAAGGGGTTTTTTGGGGACTATTCTTCCGCTGATATTTGAGTAAACAGTTGGTTTGTACAACACATACTGTTAGACAAATATGTACTCTAATGATCTTTACAATGCCCTCTCTTGCCTCATAATACCTCAATTTAGGTATAGACTATTAAACGGATTAGAGAAAAATATGAAAGCCTACCAGTAAGTAAGAAATGTAAATCAAACACTTACTTTTCAAAGACACAAAGAACATTTACACTAACAACTGAAAGTTTACAATCCAATACTGTGCTGTTTAAGCCTTTGGTTATTTTGCGTTCTGCTTTTTCCACCTAATTTAATAAAGAATTGTATGTTTTATACGTGTTGTTATACAGAATAATGTACAAGACTAAAATATGTATTTACATATTCCCAAAAGTCTCTTACACGATTTTTGGAGTAAATGACAATATAAATGCATTCTAAAAAATGCTTCACATTATATGAAGAACTTCTAAGGTGACAAAGAATTTTAAGAGGATCCATATTTCACTGAAACATTCAAGATGTGTAAACTAAAATGAATATTAAAAGAACCAGTTATCTTGTAAATGAAATGATGGATGAAAAATAAATAATTAAATAATTTAAAATATGTTTTAAAACTCACCTTTCTAGGCCAAATATTGTAATATTCCATAATATACTTTTACATAATCTAATTCTGGGAAATATGAGTGGTGATGATGGAACAGAACAGATGAATCAAAATTTTAGATAAACTTTAAACAAGTTTATTGTTATTAAAAGAAATTCAGACAAAATAGTTTTGAAATATCAAATAAACAGGATGCAAAATATTCAACAGCATTTTTAATATCAATAAGCACAGTACAGCTCAAAATGATTACACTGAATGTATGTATATTATAAAGGTATCTTATATAACAAATGATTTAAAATTAAAAAAATATTAAACAAAACACTGATGAAAATGGAAAAAACAGATAATTTATAGAAATTTACCTTCAAATATTATTAAATTACAGTATAACACTAGAGCAGGGCTGTCGAATACTGTTTGTTCAATTTAGTACATAAATATATTCTTAATTTATCTGTCTAACTTCTATCATGTATTTTGTTTGCCTATATTTTTGTACAACTTTTAAGAGACAAACATTAAAAACAAAGTTACTTTCAGCAACATGGCAGCAAAACTCTTAATAGTATAAATTAAGATGTTCACTTAATGTGACAAAAACTCATGCATTTCTTATGGTGCATATTTTTCTAATTTTCATTATCATCATCATCATCACCACTACTATTCAGAGTCTTAGTCCATTCCCTGTAGGCCTGTCTTTTCTGCAAGCATGATAAGGGAAGAAAAAAAGCAGAAGTGTTAGTTTAAACTGGCAAGTTAGTTTTTAAAAAGCAGACAAATTCTGAAATTGCTTCTGAATTCAGGATGCAATAGAAGTGTTCCAATCCTCTGTTAACGGAAATAGATCAGTCTATAATAAACTGTAAATGAATTCCCAAAGATTTATTAGATCCTAATCCTGAAACTTACTGTACACAGGCAGAATACTGAAAGTGCACAAAGACCCGATTTCAGTAGGGGTCTGCCTCCATATATCTTACTGCAAGATCGAAGGTTTACTGTATAAATCTCATTCCATAAAAAGAACATTCTTAAGGTGATTATTCCTTTTCTTTAAAGATAAAAGTACTTGAATGTGATTTGGGAACCGGAATATTCTCCAAGGTGTATGATGATAATTTAAACACACTCCTCATTTCACCTTATTGTTTAATAAAAGAATGAACAACTAGAGGGAACAAAATCTTCCATTTTCCTATTCCCCCCCCCCCATATGAAAAATCGTGATGGGATTGTTCTACATAAAAAGTAGAATTACACAAACTGAATCAATCTATCGTCCAGTGCCTTTTGGTTCCTCTCAAAGCTACTTATTTGCTCACAAATGTTATCTAATGCAAATAAGTGCAAAATCAAGGAGGAAAATAAACAATACAAAATAATTAGATAATTTGTATTCAAGGAATTGGATTTATTGTCTTGTTGGCATTTTGCTTCCTTAGCATAGCATGAAAGATCAAGGGGAAATACATCAAGAACCTTACTGGCTTATGAGAAAGAGAAAGTACAGTGACAAAGTCTTTTTGTGTTATCAGTAGCAGTTTTAATTGTTTGCTAGTGCTGTTTGTTAGTAGGTGTTTTGCAAGATAATAGCACAAGAAATATAATCTGCATCATGAGAGAAAAAAGCAAGTTTGTAGCCCTTAGTGCTATAGGATCTGTAAATACTGTTGAAGAGAAACTCTGTAGTGAGGTATAATATGAATTCAATTTACCAATTTCATTTTTAGAATATTTTGGTTCAGAAAAGCACCTTTTAAGTAAGAGGCAGTAGAGAAGATATTTCTGTGACATCTAGAATACTTAGAATTAGACAGATTCTACTTTCATATAAATGATGTACAGTACAGCATCACAAAATATGTTCTAAAATAAACAAAATCCCTACCAGATAGCTAAACTTGTTTAAAAGCATTTGTTAAGTAACTTCCCATCCATCCTATAGAAAGCCATCTACTCTTTCTGAAATTTATCTCTGGATCTCAGGAACACAAGCACAGAGATAGGATACTAAAGGCAAATCTCTAGCATTAAGGCTTTCATATATATTAGACCATCCTATCTGCCCTCTCCAATTGGAACTGAACTAGCAGCTATTGACAGTCATTTCCTAGGTGTGGATATTTTTAAAATTCAGTTTCTATGGCAATAAAAGATAGCTTGATGTTAGGAATTTTCCACCTTATTTATGGACATACTGTATATCATTTAAAAAAGTACTTGAACTATGTTAGAATTATATATTAGCTTTCAAAGAAAGATGGTTAAAATTAAAATAGGAAGCATATCAATTATTAAAATATTACATATAAATTATAAAAGTCTATATTTTTGGATATCAATATTTCTATACTTAAAATTACTGATAAACTTTTAATTAATGCTGTGTGATATAAATATACTTACTGTATCTCAAATACAAAGTTCTGCAAAAACATTACTTGTACATTTTCAATTAAAAACAGAATGGTTGTAAAAGTGTTTAATCAATTAAAATTCAGGTAAAATTTCCAATGTGATATAACTGTACGTGAATGCACAATATAAAAAAGCTACTAAAAGAAAACCTATCCTTACTGCAGCTACTGTAATAAAACTAAAAAGCCACACGCATGCATGTACACACACACACACACACACACCCTCTCTTATTTAAGCCAAACTGATGGCATGTGCATAATTAAGGATGTTTCAATATAATTATGCTGTAAGTTCCCTGTCAAAGATCAGGTATTGGCTATCCTTTTTATAAAATCTTGCCAGACTGGCCATAAAACCCTATGCAATGAAGATACAAATTAGATTATGTGTTACTAAATATAAAACATGTACTAGCAGGAGATTGAGAGTAAAAATTCTGGAAAAAACTGATTTAGGTTTTTTTCACTCTCCCAATGCAAGTTTGTATTAAATTATGTTTCAGTTTCTTCACCTGTAACATCTGACTTCCAGTCCCATCCCTTAACCTGTAAGGTCTAATAACTCCATCCTCACAAAAGAAACGAGGTGGGCGCAGACTCATCACATCTTCAGATGAATCTGTAGCTCTGAAAACAAAGCAACAAATACAAAATATGTTCAATATTTAACCCAGATATTGGTGTACTTTTAAAATACCATGTTTTCCAAAAGCTCCTAAAGTAAGCCTATGTAAATGTTTAAATTGCTGGTAAAATGACATATTTGATCTCTCTGTATTTTAATTGCAATTTTCAGTTTGTTGAGACACATGTAGCTAAAGTAACTGGACAACTGTAATCTTCACTGACTGGTCAGGATACCTTTATTATTTATGCTATACATATATATTACACATACTATGGCTTTGGTGGCAGAGACTTATGTTTAAATATTGCATATAATTTTATGGGTATATTCGTATTACTGATTTATGGATCACAATGTTGAACAAGTAGGTATTTATTTCCAGCAGGCGCCCATGCAATGTGATTATATGGTAAATGAATGTGCAAAATTCCTCTAACTGAAATTTCCACGTAAAAGTACCCTGTGATGATAATGTTTTTCTTTCAGCTTTGTTCCATATTCTTTTTTTCTCCACAAAGGAGCTTAAAAAGGGTAAGAGGCAGTGGAGATAGTGATGGTGTGAGGGAGAAAGAATGGTCCAGATCCTGGAAAGCAGCAAGGGCAGTACGCAAATATGGTCACAGCATGAAATTTCACTTATCGGTCCTATGGGAGTTCTGCAATTTTACTATGGCTCCAAATCAACAATTGCAAATTTTCCCCAGGACTAACTTATAATTTAAGAGGACTAGAGAAGGAATGGTGGCTCAAACTTATTAGCTGGACTGGGATGCAGTAACTTCTAACCTGTCTGCTCCCTCAGGACACTGAATGGCATGTAAACATTTGTGCCCAAGCAATTTTTGAAAATTTGATCCATATGTGCAAATGTATATTACTATGAGATTGCTTTATTGTTTGTTCTTTTATTCCCTTAGTTTTGTGCACTGAACTTCGTAAGATGAATACTAAATTCATATTTTTAAAAATTATGTACTTGATATATTCATATATTTAATCTTTATAAATCACACACATGGAATGTTTCAGACACTTCAGTTCTTTTAGGAAGCTTTCCTCTTTCTAAAATTTTTTTTAAGACCATTAACAGAACAATTTTAGGAAGCTGCAAGTTTTTCTTTTCTACTGGATGAAACCTCAGTTTCTAGGACTTTATGATGAGTGATATTAGAATTTTAAAATGTAAACATCTTTTATTAGTGCCAGAATAATTATTGTTTGTCTGCCTATCGGGACAGTGTAATTTTAAGGAGAAGATGGTAATACTTCCATGGCAGGTTCATTTTTAAAATAGGAATCTGGTTTAAATAAGTCCTAGGAAGATGGAATAGTGACAAGAGAAATATTTAAAGTGTATAATAGGTCAATTTATCAAATGACTTTGCATGCACACTTCATTTAATATACATGGTGAGTACACTACAGGAAATGGTGTATTTTATTAAAAACAGTTAATTTTAAAGTTAGGGATATGCAACCACAGATTCAACTGCATTAGGTAAGTTACATTTGGGAACCAAGCTACTTAAAATATAAATATGTAATGTATTTACTTAAATATTTACATGTTTTAAATGTTTTCTCCTACTTATTTGTACACTGAATGTACACAGATTCACTTTTTATAAGGCTTGAGGATCACGGAGTATGGATTTCACAATATTCAATACATAGCTGTGTGCAGCTGAAGTGCTGCAACTCTCTCACTTTAAACAGGAATGGAGAAGAAACTTGACAATGCCAGACAGTTTTGGAATTCCCTTTTATGGCTGATGGATTTTGCATACATTAACCTTGTGATCAATCTGCAAAGTCCATGTTTTCTTTTGAGCATTTAGAATCAGGCTGAGAGATGGGTTTGTAGAAATTTTGATTACAAGGCTTTAGGTAGTAGGGATGCTAAATTTCGTTTATCAGCTAATGGAATAGTCGATAGAATTTCCATCCACTACTCAATTAGTTGATAAGGGGGAAAACTGCGAGCCATAGAGGGATTAGCACCCGGCCTCGGGAGTTAACCTCACTGCAGTTCTGCCTTTCAAATGCAGTAAGAGCCAACTGACTCTTACTACATTTGAAAGGCAGAAGTACAGCCGGGGACCGGGCGTGAGCCAGGAATCAACTGTCCCGGCTTGTGTCCAATCCCAGACTCTGCACTTCTGCTTTTAAAGCAGAGGCACAGCATCTGGGACCAGGTGCAAGCTGGGAATCAGTTGATTCCTGGTTTGCGCCCTGTCTCCCACTGTGCCTCTGCCTTCCCTACCTCCCTGTGGAGCCAGTGCTGGGGGGAACTGTCTTTTAAGCCAGCTTTCTCCCGCATCAGCTCCTTCTCTCCTCCTTCCCATTGCTGCCTTTGATGCTGGGTGGGAGAAGCAACTAGTTATGTAGTCGACTACTCAACTAGTTGCTTACGTTGCTATTAGGTAGTTATTTTAACAGTTCAAGTAGGCGAGTAATTTTATAAAATTACACTTGTGATTTGACACTGTGGCTTCAGTTATCGTAAAGCATCTGGAAAGAGGTTTGTTATAAATATTAATCACAAACTGAATATGAGCTACTTATCTGAAGCATTTGTGCTATTGGAGAAAATGATCAGTTGAAAGCTTTTGAAAGAATGCCAAAGCACAATGACAGAATATATTCATTTTTAGTATCAGGGCTAGTTTTTTCATGCTAGGTGCTATTCTGTCTTTATTTGATATTATACCTTTTAATACCCTGAAACGTGCTGCTTGCCATGTCTATGATTCCTCCAGTAGGCCTTGCTACTGCTCCCACTAATCCTTTCCCGACCCCTTTGAAGAAACCAGCTGCTCCTTCTTTCTGGGCTCCTAGAAAATAATTAAAAGAAAAATATCTTTGTAGTAATACTTAGAGGCCTTTCTTTCTAAATACTTGAAAACTTTAAACAATCACTGTCACATTTTTCTACTTTCACCGATCGATAAAAAGTACAATTTAATTTACCTTAATTATAATTACACAATGTTGTTACTACATAGGATCCAAAAATCAGTGAAGCCAGAATGAAGTACACAACATTAAGATACGCTGCATACCAGATCTGAGTTTTGTAACTAAGCTAAACAAATATTACAATCAAGAACACAAAGCACTGCTAACATAGAGGAAGAACTATACTCACCTCTTATTGGTTTTGTCACTATTCCTGTTATGCCACTAACAAAACCCTAAAGGGAGAAACAGACAAATCTCATTCGTATGTTTTCAGAACAAAAACAGTAATCATAATTTAATACGATTCATAACATGGGATCTGGTGGAGGTATCTCCTTCATAATTTCCATATATTTTCAGTTTACAATTACAACCCTACTTTGTCGATAAGTTTCTAACAGCTAGATCAAAATAAAATCTACATAGATAAACTGGACAAAATGCCTTATTCTCTCTCAGTATTTCTTACAGACACTAAGCCTTTCCCTCCACGAGTGATGCCCTCTCTGATGCCAGTAGGTTGTTTATTCATGGCTTCCCTTCTCTTCTGCTGGTAGTCTTCATCCATAGTTATTGCTGCTACTCCTTTAGCCATAGCACTAGTGATTCTTGATGCAGCACCAGCTAATCCACCTGTGGAAAAGTTAAAGATGATGTAAAAGTGACACAAACGACTTAATGTGTTTACATTACACATGATTACATGATCTCTATTTATCAAAAGAGAAAAGTGTAAATATATTACAGCTTACCTACAGCTCCCCCTAATAGTGCTTTAAGACCTAGAGCCATTCCCTCTACAAATTCTTCTGGCCCCTGGATGGCTCCCTAAAGATGGGTGGGGGGAAAAGGTTGATAGAAAAAGGAAATAATCTTATTTGAAAACAGTAATTTATCTGAATGTGATATTCTTTATATAAAAAGCATACTTTAACAAAATACAGCCACTGGATTCTTCTAATTATTATGGGCTTGATATTCTTTAAAGTAAATTAGCGTAAAGAATAGTTTCTTGCAGAAGTATGAAAAAGGCTGTTCCCATCTTCATTCACACAAATTTATGCTGATAATTAGTATCACATCAGGATTTGGCAGAAGTGAATGCATCTCCTAGAAATCACAATTTCATACCCCATCTAAGTAGCTTAGAAACTGTATTGTGTTTCATAAGCCTCTAAATAGCAAGTTTACCTGGTAAGGTTCATAGAAGAATGCTTCTACTCCTTCTGACAAGTCTCGTATGAATCCAAATGGATTGCCCAAAACATCAAGGCCAAGAATAAGAACATACATTTGTTTAATGGCCTAAAATGAAAATAAGTTTGTATTAAAAACATTAAAAAAAGTATACGGTTTCCATGAAAATGTTACCATAGCAGATAAGGAACATTTTTCATTCAATACTAGATGACTGGTTTCTAGCTGGAATGTGGTAATATATGGTAATATTCAAAATTACAGACAAAAATTATGCTAAGATGAAGCTAAAGGTTGAGAGTACACAGTGGTGATTCTGGGTAAAAAAAATATTTCAGATATGTTAAAATTATCCCCCAAAGAAGCAGAACTCACATAATTCAGGAGTACGATTAAACTTTAAAAAAATATCCAAACATAAAAAAAATTGGAAACACAACATTTTTGCAGCTAAACAACCTTAACTCTGCCTTTAGTGACACCATGAAGTAGCTTCACAATTATGACTAATGCATGTTAGTGTCTGTAATCCCAGTTTAAATGAAAGACATATTTGCACATTTCTTTTTCCTACCTGTATCACTACAAGGCAGAGTTAAAGATTGTTTGGGTGCCTTGGCAGGAAACTTGAGTAAAGGTTGTTTCTCCTTTGTCAGGAAAGTCACCACTGCATCACTCTGATATGTAATTGGATGAAAAATTGAGGGCAAGATGCCCAAAAGAATTCAAAACTTTCCCTTGGGAATTGGGAAAGTCAGAAAGGATGTCAGATTTCTTGCCATGTCCCTTAGTTTCAGTTAAGCACCATGGTGCTTTTCTTTTTAGAGGTGGCCAAATTGGGGTGAATTTTTTTATTTGCTTCTAAGGAATGCTTGATTAGTGAGGATGAATCATCTTGGTGAGATTCCTGAGCTGAACAGCACTGAACCATTCTTCTGTCAGTCTCTGGAGCATCTCATCTTAGAAATGCAGAGAATTTAACATCACCACTGCACCGGGGAGAAGTCACAATGCTGAAATTATTGAATCACAATTTAGAAGTTACTGAATTTAAAATAAAACACTAAGAGCCTGACATTACTTTTGTTTTATTTCACACTATTCAATTAAGGGTGCTAGCTTTGTTTCACTGCACTCTTTACTCACCCTTATGCTCTACAGTTGGTTCAACTACCCTTACTCGTGTCATAGAATCATAGAGGTTATGGTTGGAAGAGACCTCAGGAGATCATCTAGTCCAACTCTCTGTTCAAAGCAGGACCAGCCCCCAACTAGAGTAGTACTTTTCCAATAAACTGGATTATTGTGTATAAATAAATGTCACAGAATCTACTTCACAAAGATCAGTATCAGTTTCCCAGTATAGGCTGTTTATCAGCTTGGGTTGCTCAGCACTTACTAGAAAAATGGAACTGTAGACTAAAAATACGGCATTATAGGTCAGAGCAACTGTAGCACCTGGAACTAACTTTAAATTGTTTGTCATTAAATTTGACTTTATTTAAAACTGGTATCCTATCAAGAAGAGGTGGTATTCCAGCCTTATTTTAAGAACAGCTTTCTAAAAATACTAGATATAATCTAGGTTACTAGCCACATATTTTTGTTTGCTTCTTTAACAAGCGTGCATATAATATACAGAAACCAGAAAAGAATACAGTACATAAATGTATACTAACCTGTTTGGAATAATGTTTAATAACTGCTGATTGCAGCTGTTGTGTAGTACAGAAGTGATAGCTGAGTTCAAAGAAAGCCAATCTAAAAGAAATCCACATTTGAGGTAGAACAAAATTAATTTTCCTGTGTTCAAAGTGCTAGTTTATTGTTATAAGTCTATATATTCAACATACTTGAAGACAACATCTTGTACATCTGTGAGTGTGGCACCAATACTTTTCAGTAAAAGATTCACGGACTGAACTGGAATCAATTCATGCTGTCTTTCTTCTTTGTTGCTATCTTCTCCACCTGTGCTTAGTGATAAACTTAAATGTAACTGCAGGAATAAGAATGAGAATGTGGAACATCACATTTAATTGGTTACAATTGGAATGACATTTTAATAAAACGTTATTAGCTGTCATTAGCTTACACTATATCCCTAATCTTGCGTAAATCCTAGTTAAAAACTTTTTAAATAATATCACACAGCAAATACCACAGGACTAAAAAGCAGAATTTTTCTGGAAGAGCAGAATCTGCTCCCTCACTAAATCATTTGAACTCTGAAGCAAATATTTTTTTAAAAGAGAAGAGGAATTCATCAACAGCATTTGATTAAGGCACTGACAGACTCCTACTCAATAAATAAATGAGTGAAATTCAAAAAAATGTATTCACATCTAGTGTAAATCAATATTCTGGCAAGCAGCACATTAAAGGGTAAGAATGAAGATAAAGAAAATGACTAATACAACTTGTAGAATAGCAGCAGCAAACTGAGAATTATATCAGAGTAAAACAGTGAATGCATGTACAGACTTTATTCAATCATGGAAAAAAAATCCCCAACACATTAACAAAGCATTTTTGACTGATTAAATCCAGTTTACAAGTAAACTGCATGCTTATAGCAGCCTGTCCTGCACTCAAAAAAGATATTAAAACAAAATTGCTCCAAGCACTCTGCATCTCAGGACTGTACTAGTGATGTAAAGGACTAGTCGCTCCCCTCCCTCTAAAATGCCTCTGCATTTCAAAGCAGAAGCGCAGCATGGAGCCTGGAGTCAGCAGGGGACTCATAGCATGGGGTGAGCAGGGGACTCATTTCAAAGCGGAAGTGCCCAGGTGGAGCCCAGAGTCAGCGGGACTTCCCAGTGGCCCTTGGCTTCATGCGATATTCAAACTTTTAAATGTACTGGGGCTCTTGTACATTTCAAAGGCAGAACGCGGAAGTGCTTATGACTAGTCGAAGAAAATTCCATCGACTAGTCGACTAGCAAATTAATGACTACTTAGTATCCCTAGACCGTACCCATCTATGCATAAGAAAAACTGACTTCCTGACATTCTGATTCTCTGAAGGATTCTCATTTGGTTTAATACACCTTGTAGTAAGATGACAGCCTGAAACAAAAGTCCATGTAGCACAGGCCTGGTTTGAAGCATAGCTAACAATGGACAAAACTTGTCTAATATAAAACAAAGCTAAGCTGTGAGCAAGAGGTAGGCCCCCAACTCACAGAACTTGGCACAAACAGGGAGGAGAGTGCAAAACACTAATTGGAAATAGGCCCATAAGTTGAAAGCACATTCCAAAAGGATGGTATACCAAGTCATTAAAAAAGACCTTGGTACCCACATTCCCCACAGATACCGACCCAGATTGAAGAAAAGGTCTAAAATGACAGAATGATGGACAGAGATGTTCTACTCAAATCATGAGGTGCAAGGTGATGGGTGGTATGTCAGTAGCGTTACAGGGTGGTAACCTGATGTCAGAGGATATCAAACTGACACATCAGGAGTGATGTGTAACTTGTTTGTACCTGTATAAAAAGTGGTGTCTTGGAGGGGAGTATTTGTCTGACCTGGAGGCAGTGCTACCTCTCACTGACTGAGTCAGTCGACTGTTATGGGTACATATGCGTAGTGGTTCAGTAGAGAGGTCTGCTGACAACTATTACCATACTTTATTTAGCAAGAAGCCTGGTGGGAAACCTTCAATCCTTATCTGATTTGTGGTCTTTGGAGGCTCTCTCAGAGTCTGTGTTGACTACTTGCTCAAAAATCACACATTCTTTGAGGCCTCAGGATATGGGGATGGGCAAGCAAAAGGCACCAAGTCTGCCTCTAATTGCAAGGAAGTGGCAATCACTGAAGGGGGCAGACAGGCTGACCACGCTTAGATATACAGATAGTCCCGACTTACGAACGAGTTATGTACCAAACACTTGGTCATAACTCAATCTGTTCATAAGTCGGATCCCATTAATTTAAATGTGACCGCGCTGTTCGTAAGCACGGATCGCGTTCGTAACTCAGGGACGCACTTAATGGGAGGCTGGTCGTAAGGACGAATGGTTTTAAATCAATGCGTGTACTTAAAAAACCCTTATGGAAATAGGGCATCATCCCCTTTGGTCTCTGGTGCTCATGAATCCAAGATTCTAGGGATTGGGAGTACTGAGATATTTCCTTGAAGTCAATTCAGTAGGCTGATTTATGAAGATATTTCTTCCCTTTCCCCAAAAAGATTCTCTTTAGTGTTTGGTATTCCCTGGAGATTCCTCTGAACCTCCAAGTGGGAGCTGGATGCAGAGGACATTACGTTTGCCATCATATTACATACCTTAACAAATGTCAAACCTATACTTTTCCTAAGGAGGCTTCCACAAGTTGATCTCTTCCCTGATCTCGGCACATCAATTGTATTGGATAAAAAATAATCTGCTAAACATGCTTATAGAAGTAATTATGGAAGTTACTGAAGCTGTATCAGATAGTAGAACCAAAATATATGTATTAAAAATAGGCTTGGCTACAGGTCTTAATCTTTAAGGGCTTAGAATGAGGCCTATCAGGAGTTGGCTGTTGGCATAACTCTGCACGAGTATTATGTGTTTGATCAAAGATTATAAAACAACACATGAAAATTATGTAGGGATAACATCTTAAAGTATTAAAAATGATTCCCCCAAGTGGAAGTGACTCCCCATAATTTGTTCCCCACAACTAAAAGTCTAAGTAGTATACGTTTGTTAAGTAGAAGAAGCATATAAGTGTTTAGATTTAGTGTTATCAAGCTTGAGAACTGTTTAGATTTATTATTATTATTATTATTATTTGTTAAGATTGTTAAATGTTTAGATTTATAATTATTGCCCCTCTAGAATATAATTTGTGAGGAATGTAATATTAGGTCATGTAACTTAAAACTGTTAAAAATATAATACTATGTAGCCAGAAACAGCTCCCCTCTCTGTGTCCCAGGGCACGCTCAAACTTATTGTTACACGATTGACGCCCATTCTCTTCAAAGCATTGTGAAGCAATTAACCCTAATCGCAAAGTGAAACATTGTAACTATCTCAGCACTCAGAGAGAGAATGTTTTAAGAAATGCCACCCAGAAACTTTTGTGACTTTTTGTAACTACAACTCTTAGAATCATAGAATCATAGGACTGGAAGGGACCTCGAGAGGTCATCGAGTCCAGCCCCCCGCCCTCAAGGCAGGACCAAGCTCCGTCTACACCATCCCTGACAGATGTCTATCTAACCTGTTCTTAAATATCTCCAGAGAGGGAGATTCCACCACCTCCCTTGGCAATTTATTCCAATATTTGACCACCCTGACAGTTAGGAATGTTTTCCTAATGTCCAATCTAAACCTCCCCTGCTGCACTTTAAGCCCATTACTCCATGTCCTGTCCTCAGAAACCAAGAGGAACAAATTTTCGCCTTCCTCCTTGTGACACCCTTTTAGATATTTGAAAACCACTATCATGTCCCCCCTTAATCTTCTTTTTTCCAAACTAAACAAGCCCAGTTCATGAAGCCTGGCTTCATAGGTCATGCTCTCTAGACCTTTAATCATTCTTGTCGCTCTTCTCTGTACCCTTTCCAATTTCTCCACATCTTTCTTGAAATGTGGCGCCCAGAACTGGACACAGTACTCCAGCTGAGGCCTAACTAGCGCAGAGTAGAGCGGCAGAATGACTTCACGAGTTTTGCTTACAACACACCTGTTAATACAACCTAGAATCATATTTGCTTTTTTTGCAACAGCATCACACTGTTGACTCATATTCAACTTGTGGTCCACTATGACCCCTAGATCCCTTTCCGCCATGCTCCTTCCTAGACAGTCGCTTCCCATCTTGTATGTATGGAACTGATTGTTCCTTCCTAAGTGGAGCACTTTGCATTTCTCCTTATTAAACCTCATCCTGTTTACCTCTGACCATTTCTCTAACTTGCTAAGGTCATTTTGAATTATGTCCCTATCCTCCAAAGAAGTCGCAACCCCACCCAGTTTGGTATCATCTGCAAACTTAATAAGAGTACTCTCTATCCCAATATCTACATCATTGATGAAGATATTGAACAGTACGGGTCCCAAAACAGACCCTTGAGGAACTCCACTTGTTATCCCTTTCCAGCAGGATTTAGAACCGTTAACAACAACTCTCTGACTACGGTTATCCAGCCAATTATGCACCCACCTTATCGTGGCCCTATCTAAGTTATATTTGCCTAGTTTATCAATAAGAATATCATGCGAGACCGTATCAAATGCCTTACTAAAGTCTAGGTATATGACATCCACCGCTTCTCCCTTATCCACAAGGCTCGTTATCCTATCAAAGAAAGCTATCAGATTAGTTTGGCATGACTTGTTCTTCACAAACCCATGCTGGCTATTCCCTATCACTTTATTACCTTCCAAGTGTTTGCATATGATTTCCTTAATTACCTGCTCCATTATCTTCCCTGGGACAGACGTTAAACTGACCGGTCTATAATTTCCTGGGTTGTTCTTATTCCCCTTTTTATAGATGGGCACAATATTTGCCCTTTTCCAGTCTTCTGGAATCTCCCCTGTCTGCCATGATTTTTCAAAGATCATAGCTAAAGGCTCAGATACCTCCTCTATCAGCTCCTTGAGTATCCTGGGATGCATTTCATCAGGACCTGGTGACTTGCTGACATCTAACTTTCCTAAGTGATTTTTAACTTGTTCTTTGTGTATCCTATCTTCTAAACTTACCCTCTCTCTGCTTGTATTCACTACGTTAGGCACACCTCCAGACTTCTCGGTGAAGACCGAAACAAAGAAGTCATTGAGCATCTCCGCCATTTCCAAGTTCCCTGTTACTGCTTCTCCCTCCTCACTAAGCAGTGGGCCTACCCTGTCCTTGGTCTTCCTCTTGCTTTTAATGTATTTATAAAAGGTCTTCTTGTTTCCCTTTATGCCTGTAGCTAGTTTGATCTCATTTTGTGCCTTTGCCTTTCTAATCTTGCCCCTGCATTCCCGTGTTGCTTGCCTATATTCATCCTTTGTTAGTTGTCCTCACAGAACCTGAATGAATGAATTGAATGAATGTTTAATATATATATAAAGTGTATAAGGGTTAAGTAGTGATAGGAATAAGTAGCTAAACAACGTTGTTTGCTTCTATCTTTTCTTTATTATTATCTTTACAATAAATGTGGCTTTTTGCCTTATCCCCCTCATAAGATCCTGCTTGCTTTTATTGGTACAACAATTTAGCAATATGTATCAGGTGATTGTTTAGCAATGCCCTGCATGAAAAATAGGCAAACAGTAAATAAAGAGAGGGTTAGGGTTAGCATTTTAGGGATTTTTTGCAACAAGAGCTAATTGCATTAATGTTATCAAAACTACTGGAAAAGAGACTGATGCAAATTGTTGTATTAACTTTCAGAAACGTAATGTACCGACAATCCGAATATCACATACAGACAACCAGAACCTTAACGTTAGTCTCTCAGAATTCGAAATACGAATAGGGACTGAGATGTAATCAGATATGGTCTTAGATGTATCATGGTGTGGGTACAATAGAAAAAGGCAAACATATATGAGTGGAACAGAAAATGATGTGTAAAAGGTTGTCACAAACCAATCCTTAAATCATCTCATATGATAACATACTGCTTAGTGCTTCAGCCTTCAAGAGAGTCCCTGGAGCCCATCTGAAAGCACGATCCACCTCCTCATGCAGTGGAGCACTCCAGCTGGCACACTGTCTTATTTTCACCTTTGATCCTGTGTGTATGGGTTCTTAAAAGAAATATTTTTCTCCAGCCTATAATGTGTCTGGCTATATAAACTTCACACTACCAGCCAGAAATCCACCAGCTTTTGGGAAGCAGGAGAAAGACTTGCCAGACACATTTATTCTCACAAAAATTCTCAGAAGTCAGAGAGAACTGTGGGCTGTGAGGAGGATATTATATGTTAACTAATTTGAGATACAGAAAATCCTATGAAAAAGAAAATGTTAGGAACTTGTAAAGGATGATGGCACTGATGTTTTTAGACATGCACTTTCTGATATGCTGAAATGTCTACATAGACTAAGGGGAAACCCTCCTTACACACACACAGGCAGAAACACTAAGTTCACTTCCTTGAGCACTGTTTTCTAGCTGCTATCCCTCTCAAATCTCTGTTCTCAGAATATGACACTCACCTTCCTTTACTAAAAACTATAGATTTTAATGGTTTTCTGTAATTTACATACCTTGATTGGAGAAATATGAAAATATTCATACAAGCTGATTTGTGATCTATCTGTTGATGACATACTCATCAATTCTTTTTGGAGAGATTCAATATCCTTTTTGAAAAGTTCAACCTGTCAAAGTATTTAAATTATTAGAATTGAATTAGTTTTAGAATTACAGTATTTATTAAAGCATTAAACTCCAGAAAAGCAAACAATTTTCAGGGAGATATAATAAACAAATTGGCAGAGATACTGCATGATCTACAGTCTGCTGAAATTACTTCAAAAAAGAGTGTCTTCTGTATGTAGCGCAAATTTCTACCAGAAAATGTCTAAAGTTCAAATAATAAACAAACAGAGCCTGGGTCAAATACATAAATAAAAGTTATTCAGTAACTGATACAAATCTTTTAAAACCTTTTCTAGATTTCATATTTATCTTGCCAGAAGATACACCAAATAAAGTACATGAGATATTTATGCAGATCTGTAGGCAAGTGGACATCTAAAGAGATATTATTTACTTGTATAGTAACTAGAGAGGTGTAGTCTTTGTATGTATTACACTCTTGGTATGCATACACCCCATGAACCCGTGATTGAAGATTGTTAGCGGTGTCAGTTCAGTCCACACATGTACTACTCTTGAGTAGTCCCCTTATTAAAGGGGCCTCTGACTTTTACTGGGACCTTGAGTAGTCCCTTTATTAAATTTGATCCTTTTACTGGGAGGATCCTTTGTGCTGCAATCTAGCCCTAGAGACTACAATTCCCAATAGCCTTGGGGAAAAAAGGGGGAATGGTGCCTCTTCCAGGCTATGCAGACGGAGTTAGGCTAGGCTCCATTTTTGGAGAGAGGAGCAAGCCTGCAGGCGTGGAGCCTTTTCCAGGCTAGGAGCTGTTGTGTTGCAGCTAGAGACTGTTACTGTTGGGGCTTGGATCTAGCAGGCTGCTTTGCGGGCTGCTGTTGATTGTCCCTGGAGGGGAGAGATCCTGGCTGTGCCTCTGGCTGGGAAGAGCTTACATAAATCTACATAGGAGATAACTGAGTAACTGGGCTGTTTGGAAAAGTGCTGCCTGGGATAGAGCATGAAAGACAAACTGACTCTAGGTGCAATGAGAGCCAGAGTGATCTGCCCAGGGAACCAGAGCTGCTGGCATTTGGTGGGGCCTGCTCCAGTGGCAGAGGGATTTTGCAGCTGGCTGCTCAGCTTGGACTAACGCACACAGACCCTGCACAGTGCTGTCTCCATTCTAGCTGCGGACCTTTAAGAATGCCCACGCAAGCGTTTGGGACTCTGAATCTAGAGGTGGCATAAATGGTGGCAATGCAAATGCTAGATAGAGAAGTTTCCTTTCTTTCTGTGTACTTTTTAATTGATTTTGTTAACTTTTCATCTGTTAAACCTGGTTTCTCTAAGCTATTAAGTAAAGGTGTGTTAATTCTAATGTAACCAATTAGATATATCTTATTTATAATTGTTGTCTTGAAGTTAGTTCCGGATTATTATTGGAATCATTTTATTTCCTGGAGGCTCCCAAGATACCCCGTAAGTGAGTACAGGGCCAGCCAGGTGGAGGCACCACCATTGTATATTCTTTAGGAGCAAGGCACTGCAGCAAGGGAGTTGGTAGGGAATCCCCAACTAAACATCACCACCACTGGGGTACTCAGGATCTCCTTTTATGTTAAAAACTTCAGGCACCCAGGCACACATGTGAGTGTGACCTCTCCCAAGTAACCCAGGGAGGAAAAAGGGGGTTACACTTGTGTTACATACACAGGTATAAACAATAGTGCAGAACCAACTGCCACTCTAATTTTTTTCTCTACGTCAAATTCTATATAGTATATGAGGAATCAAAAGCAGAGCTTGTCCCTGTTTATATTTTATTCTAGTTGACTCTCAAGCAACTATCTATCTATAGTGCTGAATCTTATCTACGATAAAGCAAACAACAGCCTAAAGAGACATCTGATGAAGATGTCTACTGAAATACATAGGCTTGCAAAGGTGCACATACAAATACATGAGGCAGTCTAC